CCCACACCCACACCCACACCCACACCCACACCCACACTCACACCAAGACGCACACCCACACCCACCCTCAACTTCCACCCTAGCCACCCATACTCACACCCACACTCATACCCACACCCACACCCATACGCATACCAACATCCACACTCACACCCACACCAATACGTATGTCCACACCCACCCCCAACTCCCACCCTAGCCACCCATACCCACAGTCACACCCATACCCACACCCATACCCACACCCATACCCACACCCATACCCACACTGACACCCATGCCCACACTCACACCCTAAGGGTGTGGGGTGTGGGTGTTGTTCTTGTATTCACCCACACTCCGCACCCACACCCACACGTACACCCACACCCCATACCCATAGCCCACACCCACATCCACACCCTACACCCACACCCCGCCCTGCAATACATGTGCTTCGGATAGTGTTCTATATCACACGTAATTAAGACCACTGGATGCAAGAAAATAAAAATGTATTCGTATTAGGAGAACAGAAGCTCTCTTAAAAAGCACCAGACAAGTTTTAACTTAGAGGAGATGGGGGATTCACTCACAAGGGAACCATCCGAGGTGTCAAAAAGCTTTTGAGCTGAAATTTTGTCCACAAGTAGGGCATACATAGACTAAAAAAAGTGTAAAAAGATATGGGCCCAAGTTGGGATTTGACTGACGAGGGAACCGCCCGAGATGATTCACTGCTTTAAAGCTCATACTTTGGGCATAAGTAGGGAACCCTGACACTAGAATAACCCTAAGAGGATTTGGGCCCATGCACCTGTGGGGCTGAGTTATAACCGTTTTACTCGATTTTTGCCCTAGGGCACTGGTTCACCTGCAAAACCAAATCAACGAATTTCGACCTGAAATTTTGTCCACGAAGAGGCCTAATGACCACTAGAATACCCTGAAAGTTTCGGACAAAACAAATGTATCCTTCTTAAGATATTGAATTTTCAAAAACCGACTATTTCTCGAAAAGAATTAGCAGACCCGCAATTTATTGTGAAGTCAATATCTTAAGAAGGATACATTCGTTTTGTCCGAAACTTTCAGGGTATTCTAGTGGCCATTAGGCCTCTTCGTGGACAAAATTTCAGGTCGAAATTCGTTGATTTGGTTTTGCAGGTGAACCAGTGCCCTAGGGCAAAAATCGAGTAAAACGGTTATAACTCAGCCCCACAGGTGCATGGGCCCAAATCCTCTTAGGGTTATCCTAGTGTCAGGGTCCCCTAATTATGCCCAAAGTATGAGCTTTAAAGCGGTGAATCATCTCGGGCGGTTCCCTCGTGAGATATTGACTATTTACCATAATTTTCCTATAGTACCCTACTTGTCCGATAAAACCAAAGTTTTTAATTTAGGCCTGCAACTTTGTCCACACCAACGCCCCAATCAGACAAGCTCGCCTACAAAGTTTCAGAACTCTTGGATAGACTATCTCCGAGATATTAATCTGCCAAAATATCTATGTGAAACATTATATCGATAAAAAAGCGTCTTTATGCTAACATACTAGTATCTCGGAGATAGTCTATCCCACAGTTTTGAAACTTCGTAGGCAAGTTTGTCTGATTGGGGCCTTGGTGTGGACAAAGTTGCAGGCCTAAATTCAAAACTTTGATTTTATCGGACAAGTAGGATCCTATAGGAAAATTATGGTCAATAGTCAATATCTCAGTCAAATCCCGACTTGGGCCCATATCCTTTTAGACTTTTTCTAGTCTATGCATCCCCTACTTGTGGGCAAAATTTCAGCTCCAAAGCTTTTTGACACCTCGGGTGGTTTCCTCGTCAGAGAAGCGGATAAATGGTAAAACTAGTCCCTTAGTGTGAGCGTTGAGTGTAGGTTCTTTCTTGGTGCCATTTATCAGTCAGGCATAATAGTCATCCATTGAGTCTACCTTTTTCCACAATAGTAGAGTTGATGAGCGGATTTCATATGTGGTTCATAATCGTCTGGACACAATTTGCTATTATCATTGCCGCAGGAACTAAACGGTGCTGCGTAACCACATGCTGTACCGGATGCATCATCTATAGTCACATCATCTTTGTAGCACAAAACCGAATTCCGCTCGTAACGGTAACCATACGGACAACCAACATTCAAAATGTGTTGTCCACCACAATACTTATGAATACCACATATTGTACCAGGTTTACTCTTCTGCTTGTCAGTCTGCATTTTGTAGCAAGTGCAGACTTTGTTCAATACGAAAACTAGCAAACGTATTTTGCCAAGATACACAATAGTGACGAACAAGAAGATAGGCACTTACTCCCGTCTACGAAGCATACCGAAGAATATCCACTAGGACATGATGTTCGAGGATCCATGTTCTCACAACCAATATGAGTATACTTGCCAGATGTAAAACCACAGGATACGCCACGGGGTACATCAGGCGGTATGTCAATAGAGCAATCAGCGCCTACGCAGTATGAAAGTGACGCTTATTGTCGGAAAAAGCTTTTATACTTTCAAAAGTCCGATCGGATAAGAACTTTGGTAATAGAGCTCAACTTTTATAGTTCAATATAATCTTCATGAAGTATGTGTAGATTTTGGGAACAGTGAATTTCTGAAATTTCATTAATTGTATAAATCACACAGACGAGTATGGGTATGAGAGCGGATGAAGAATGGGCTCAGGCGCACCTATCCACATCCACACGCCATGTAATGTATCAGAACGCTGCAACGGATGTAAATGCCTTCTTATTAAAGGGGTAAATCAAGCATCTCTCGAAAATACGTGCGGCTTAGACCACAGTCCTGAAACATCGAAGGCTACAGTTCTAACTTTATTATATATTCTTTTTCATATAGCTTTAATTTCGGTTAGTGCATAAGACGCCTCTGTTTTCCTGTAGCACATAGTAAAACAGATTTAGTGGTAGATGTTTATCTGATCTGTAAACTTGGGAGTAGATAGTGAACATTCTTAGAGACACAGATCTTAGGTGACTCTCTAAAGTAATTTTCCGCATTTCATGCTACCAAATGTTGTGCAACGAGGAAGTTTCTGACACTTGCAGGAAAATTCTCTTTGATTATTAAGGCATTTGTAGATTACAGCTATCAATTCAGTACGTGCATGATGCAGAGACATACAAATATCACACTAATGTCGCTGGCTATGTAAGCTTTTTGAAGCCGAAGTATTATAGTTTAATTCGAATAACATTGGTACTTGAATGCGAATAGAATAGACACTCTATTTCTATAGGAAGTGGCTATGTGCACTCGAGTGCACATAGCCGCATCTTAGTGTATTGGATATGCGCACTCAAGTAGGTATTATCAACTAGTTACTAAATATTGAGATATATTATAGCCATATATGTACTTCATAATTAACATGAGTAAAATTTATTAATTTATTAATAATTTTACTCTATTTATTTGTTGTTAAATCCAAATAGAGTATAAAACAAGTATTAATATCAAACAAATATAAAAGAAAAAGTTAATTCAAATAAAAATCAACTCATTTAGAAATATTTCTAGCGCTTGATCTCTTAGATTTTGAACGAAATGGTTGCATTTTATTATTTTCAATACATCGGACGGAAACTAGATCGATGCCAGTGTTTTCTTCCCTATTAATTGTGCCTTCTTTCTCTATTGATAATTTATAGAACGAAAGATTCTACGTTTTCTTGATTAATTAGCTTACAAAATGGGAAATTGAAAAACATAAA